TGAATTATTCTGGGCAAGCCAAATGTAGTGCAAAACTTTACGACCTCCTTCAGCACCACCTGTGCTTTCAACGTACGCAACGGTACAGCTTCTGGGTAACGGGTTGCAGTACACATTATTGTTAAAATGTATTGGTGCCCATGTTTTGACTTCGGAAGGGGTCCTACACAGTCAATTAATATCTTCTCAAATGACTCTCCTATCACTGGTATCGGACTGAGAGGAGCTTTTGGAACAGCTTGATTTGGTTTGCCTGCACGCTGGCAAACATCACATGAACGACAAAAACTAGAGACAGTGGATTTTACCCCAGGCCAGTAGAAATGTTTAGTGATCCGCTGAAATGTTTTAGTGACACCGAGGTGTCCAGCGAGAACATTTTCATGTGCCAATCTTAACACTTGAGAGCGATAACCGGAAGGTAGAACGATCTGAAAAATTGTTTGCCAATCGTGTCTTTCTAAAGACTTTGGCTCCCACTTACGCATTAAAACCCCATCGTCCCAAAAATATCCTACCCGCGCCACTAACAGATCACAATGGTCAACTGCAGCACTGATGCACTTTGAGAGTGTAGGGTCTGATTTCTGCGCAACAACGAGATGGTCCTTACCGAACACGGGAGGAAGATCAGCTGTGGGCTGGGACTCATGACTAGGCACGAGTTCAGTCTCAACTGATAACTCGCACTCTATTGGATTAGGCTGCACAGCCAGGAAAGAATCTGCGAGACCAACAACATCTTGAAACTTTCGTGACTGGGACCTAGTGACAGCACACACAGGAAAAGCTAGAGGATATTTTCCAGAGAGATCCAACGAGTTGCACACAACTGGCTTACTTACAACAATTGGACTGGGGAAGACATTACCACCTGCAAGATCATTTCCCAATATAAGACTGACGTTCTCTACCGGCAGTTTGTCACACACACCCAATTGAACCAAGCCCGTGACAAGATCAGATTTCAGATTAACAGTGTGTAATGGAACACTAACACAGCCCATTTCGATGCCACGAACAAGGACATTTTCGTCAGTATATGAAGCATCAGAGAAGGGCAAAACACCATCCAGAATAAAGGACTGAGCTGAACCAGTGTCTCTTAAAATTCGCACGCACTCAACTACAGAACTGTCAGCCAAAGACACATAACCGGTCAGAAGAAAGGGTAAATAGGAAGAAGTGTCAGCGGTAATCAAGTCAGGAACAGATTGTACCAGTGCAACATTTTTAGGTCTCGCATTTGCGGTCTTCTGTTTCCAAGCCCGACAATCAGAGATTATATGCCCAGGATCAAGACAGTAAAAGCAGACTCTCTTCTTTTCCACATTTCTTGAGACGGCTTTCCCAGCACTAGACTTACTGACATAAGCACGGGCTGCATCATGAATCACAGACTCTGTAGCGAAGGAAGTTTTTGTTTGACGACCAGAGAAAAAGACGGTTCGGTGGGTAATCGCAAATTCATCTGCAAATACCGCAGCTTCAGAAAGTTTCGATACTTTTTGTTCATTTAAATGAACTACAACACCTTCCGGTACACAAGTCTTGAAATCTTCCAGCAAGACCAACTCTTGCAACTCTTCATAAGTTGTAGTCTTACTGGCAAGACACCATTTTTCAAAAAGCGATTTCTTTTCTCTAGCGAATTCAACATAAGTTTGTTTGGCTTGCTTTGAACACGCTCTAAATTTCTGCCGATACGCCTCCGGCACTAACTCATATGCTCTTAGAACTGCTGTTTTCACAATGTCATAGTCCAATGACTCCTCAATTGGCAAAGCCGCACACACCTCCTGTGCTTTGCCAACCAGGTTACACTGAAGCAGCAGAGCCCACATGTCCTTCGGCCACTTCAATTTAAATGCGACGCGCTCAAAAGCAACAAAATAAGAGTCTACTTCTGCTTCACGGAAAGGCGGTACTAGCTTGATGTACTTGCCTATTTCAAAGTCAGATTTAGACTCAACTAGATCAGTAGGAGAGGCCGGTATAGGAACTGGTCGGTCACGGAAGCCTTGCGCCTCAAGATCAAGCCTACGCAGTTGAATATCACGGTCAGCTTTAATTTCAAGAGCTCTCAGACGAAGCAGCTGTGTCTCATGTTTCTGCTTACTTACCGCTAGATCCAGCTCTTTTAACTTAAGCGCCACTTGAGGATCTTGATAAGACTCTTTTTTAACACTACTTCCTGAACTTGAACCACTGGACGCAGCTTCTTTATCAATTTCGGTGTCGACCACATGCTCTAAGATTGGTTCTGGAAAGACATCTACCTCTACCAATTTCGTATATAGTTCATCTCTTATCACGCTTTTCGTTGCTGCCTTGGCAACCGTTATATTATAAAAGTCAGCTATCACCAGCAGATCTTTCTTTCTACAACGATTGTATTCCTCCAATGTAGGACACAGCGTAAATTTAATCAAATCGAAATCCATATTTTTTAATATAGGACTTCCTCATCCACCAAAGTTTAAAGCAGCCAAACAAAATTAAAATTTCACAACAACAAAAGAAAGAACGGACGAGCCCCCAATTGTTACGTGCCTCCCCAGTCTAGGGGTCAGGGAGACAGTAACAAGGAAATTATCAACAAGTTGGCAACCAAGAACTCTCCTCCCCTGTCTCACTCCACAAATCACACAGATTTTTTAGAACTCAAAAAGACTTTATTTGGAGTGATCCAAAGTACAAAAGGAAACGGAAAGCGTCAATAGGCTTCGGGAGGGGACAAGGCCAAAACAATAAACATAAAGTTCTGACTATAGGGGAAAAGCCTTCTTAACCTTCCAAAATAAGATAGAAAAGAATAACAAATACCTTACCTCACTCCCTCTCTAGCCAAACACAGGAGAAAAAGGTGGACATAACATAAATGGCATCCTCCTCCCTACTGCTTCCAAAATAAACTTAAATCAAAAAGGAGTCTGGTAACTGGTTTGAAGAATGTAAGAAGAGCTGGTTTAACCGCAGTCCAAGTCTGTTCAGATCAACAACAATCAACAATGTCAGCAATTGACAACAAGATGTACAATTGCTCTTAACACACATGCAAAGGGGTGAGGCAGGAGAAGACAGTCTGGGCACCCTGGAGTCAAAAGAGGATCTCTCCCAACTGGCTTTTCCTTTCCAGCTTTATCCACGAGCTTCCCTAGTCAGGAGCCAATCAGTGGGAACCAGGAGATGATAGTAATTCGTATCAGCTGGCCCCCATTTGGACATGAGAGACTGAGAGAGAGAGAACAAAGAAAGAAAAAAAACACCAAAACATTGCACACATAATAATTACGCCCTGGGACGTAACACTAACCAATGATATTTTCTCAGTCAAAGTCATAGTAGGCCTATAGGCTACACAATTCTTGCATTTAGTAAGCATAAAACGGAAGTTGCAATGGTCTTTTCTTCCCTTTTGTGATATGTATCCGTGGTTTGTTATTGCTGTGATGTGAGTGACCGGTTGTTCTCGTGCCAGTAAACGCGCTATCAGGGGTGTATTCCAGAATGCAAGTTAAAAGCGTAGCTATATCCTAACCTTTCAACTTTCGGGGCATACAAGTAGCCATTGGAACTAGAGTGACCAGACGTCCCGAAAAATTTGGGACAGTCCCGGAATCTAAGCTGTTGTCCCGAAACCCGAATCCGAATTTAGACATGCATTGATGAGGTAATTTGCATTAAAAATATGAATGGCTATAGCCTGAAAGGTCTGATTGTACGCACTGTTACAACAGTCATAATTTTTGTTTTTTTCACAATGACATGTGAGTTCATGATTTTAATGTTAGAAAGAGTGGCAGACTAAAGACTAATGAAAGATTGTTGATCTTTGAATAAAAATATGTTTGTTCAGGTTTGAAATTCATTATATTTTATTATAGGCTATGTAGTCTAATATCATAGTAGGCCTATAACCTGCTTATGTTCCAGGGTTAGTTTACTTCAGAGGTTTTAGTGCAACGTGCCCTAATGATGAGGCTCCAGTGGGGAGATTTCACACACTATTATATTTTATAGTTGCATGTATATAGGTAAAACACAGACTTTTTTTTTTTGTTAAATTAACATCAAACAAACAATATAATTCTAGTTCATAGTGATAAAAAAAAAAAACTGATTAAAGGGATAGTTCACCCCAAAATGTCAAATTTGTCATCACTTACTCGCCCTCATTTTGTTCCAAACATGTATGAGTTTCTTTCTTCTGTTGAACTCAAAAGAAAATATTTTCAAGAATGTAATTGGTAACCAAACAGTTGATGGCACCCATTGACTTTCATAGTATGTTTTTTTCTACTATGGAAGTCAATGGGTGCCATCAACTGTCTGGTTACCATCATTCTTGAAAATATAATATTTTTTTGTTCAATTGAAGAAAGAAACTCATACAGATGTGGAAAAACTTGGAACAAAATAAAAATTATTTTTGGTGAACTATTCCTTTAATGATTAGGGATAAAATAAAATAAAAATGTTTGCACAACTGCCCCGTAGGTACATGGTGAAATGCACCAAGAATGTAAATCACCATTAAACAAAAGAAGAAGAATGGCTCGATTCTTCTTAGCATCCGTTTCCATGCTCGTTTTTATACTCCGTGTTGACTGAACATACACATGGACCACGGTTTTGGAACCTGCGAGTGAGCAAGGTTTGGGTTAATCAACCGAGGGTTCAGGGTATAGTTGTAATAGAAATTATTCAACCACTAGAAACATTTGTTGTGTTGAGCTATTTCAATTACTTTTGTTTGATTTGTTCATTGCAAACAGCTAAAAGTCAGTACATTTAGCTAATAACCCTGATTTACAATGGGAGTTGAATAATTTCGATTACTGTATGTGACACAAGTTAACCGTGCTTTCTGGAATCCACCCCATACCCCCCCCCCCCCCCCCCCCCCCCCATTTATTTTTTAATAAATAAAAAGAAATTACATTTTGATGTCATGGTGACTTTAATTACTTACTTTATTTATTTATGCATTTTTACAGTAAACAAAAAGTGGTCTATACTTATAGGATCCTTCAAACCCACTCTGGATCCTACACTCTACAGGTAGGACACACTCAAATTAGCATTAGCATTAAATGAAATGAATAAATATGTGAATAAATTAATTTACAAGTCATTAAAATGTCACAACACTATCTGCTTCAGGCTAGCTCAGGTGTAGAGGAGAAATTCTTCAAGACAATGAAGGATCTTATCCGTCATTACAAGCAAAGGAATCAAGGACTTGCAACACACTTATACCGTTCGCTGAAAAGAAAAACACTGCCAGAACAGTCTTTGCAATGTCCAGAACCAGTAGTGCATGATGAGGAAAACGAATATGAAAGTGAGTGTCAACTGTTATAATATAAGAGATTTAACAATCATGAGACATTATTACCAATGTCATTACAAGTGTTGGCGGTAACGCATTACAAGTAACATGAGTTATGTAATCAGATTACTTTTTCAAGTAACTAGTAAAGTAATGCATTACTGTTTAATTTTCAAATGAGTAACGCAAGTTACTTTTATTGCATTACTTTTACAAGTGTCTTTCTTCAACACTGGTCATTACAATGACAAAACATCATTAGACAATTACAATAACATATTTGAGCAGGAATCATCTTTGAATTAGAACCAAAACTGTTCCATTACCTTAACTAACTGTGAAACTTTTCTCTCTCTCAGATGTTGATTGCTCAGGGGACTATGTCGTTGTTCTGCCAGATGATTTAGTCAGAATGTGATGTTCGGTCTGGATTACGGGATCAGCCAACACGAAGGATATAGATATGCAATTCTCGTAATGTTTCCAAGAACTTTCTGGGATGTTTTACCTCGGATATGGAAATTTCATGTGATCGCATTACATGAATCACATTTTATCATTTGTACGATTTTGTGCTTGGTAAATGCATAAATCGTGGATGTGTATTTCAATGCTGCAATGTTGTGGATTTTGTTGTCATTATAAACTTGATTCTCATCATAATAATTTGAGTTAAAAGTTTGGTTTGGTTTTTCGGATGTCCTAATATTTGTTACGTTTTGCTCTAATGATAAATGATTTAATATACAGAGGATTTCACACGGTCAGTGCTTCAAAACTAGGGTTGGGTATCGGTTGGGTTTTATCCGATACCAGTACCTACTCGGTATTTTTTAAACGGTTCCGGTGCCTAAACGGTTCTTGAAACGGTACTTAAGAAAACGAAACCGCACACACTTTATCAAAAAATAATACCCTTTTATTTACAGGGCCAAACTGGACACAATATTAGCTTAAATCTTTAAACAATATAAATACAAATAATAATAAAATTAATATAAAATAAAAATTCACATTTACATAATATCAAATAAAACAATATTGTATCAAACAATGTAATAATACTGGAGATTAATAGAGATTACTAGCAGGCAGAGCTGCCAACTCTCACACATTGACCGTGAGACTCGCAAGAGCGCGCATGCGAGACAGAAGAGACTGTCTGTGTGTGTGTGTGTGTGTGTGTGTGTGTGCGCGTGTGTGCCTAATTAAGTCAGGCACCGAAATCAGGCACCGAAATTGTCGTTCTTATTCGGTCTGGTTACTACCGTTTACGTCGGAACCGGTTCCCTATTGGTACCGAGTTTCGGTACCCAACCCTATTCAAACCCTAGAAACAGTGCTAAATATTGTTTATTTATTTCACAACATTGTGCCAATTCTATATTTGTAGAATCTATATTTGTGTCAAACAGAGTCTATAATAAGATATGCCGTGTAAATATTTTGTTCCTAATGAACGTGCTGTCTTGTGGTTTTTACATGTAAATATATTCCATTTACTTTACCACTTAAATGGGCCCACATAAGAACAGTTTCCTATGCACTGTTCCATATGGTCAAAGATAGAACTGATGTCACTGCCTAAATTTAAGTTTGGTTGGTGTCTTTTAATAAATCAGTTTTAAAAAAATCATCTTGTTTGCCATATTTCTCCAAGTGCTTCATTTCTTTTTAGGCTAAATTAACAAAGATTTTATTTTCTTTAAAAAGAGCAGAGGCCAGTTGCATAAGCCCAGCATGTTAAGACTGCGTCTTAAAAACTAGTCTGACCAACCAGACTCTTGCTTTTCAGATTTTATTTAACTGATTACATTTTTATGTATTTGTAACTGCCTTAAGTTTATGACCAAAATTAAAGAAATAAATTGAACTTACAGTTTGACTAGTGAAGGTAGTTTATGCAACTGGTCACAGATTACTAAAGGTTATTAATTAGATTTATCATAAAGGGCATAATTATAGAGGATTTATATTAAAGGTTTAACTGACTAAAAAGAAGCACAAATTTATTTTTTAACTACTTACAGTTTGTAGAAACTGCAGCCTCATGTAGTGCAGGAATAACCTTTGTATAGTACAGTCTTATGTTCAAGTTTGTTTGTTTAAGGATCTGAAAATACAGATGATACAGATAATTCCAAATATACCATTCAAATACAGAAACTGAAACACTGGGCAATAAATAATGTTGAGGTTTCACACTATTTGTGGCCTAGTGACTAATCTTCACTAATTGTACATTCCATCAGAAAGAGCAGAGTGTGAAAGTTGAATTAGCAGAGCAGTAACTCAGCTGTAGGCCTACTACATAAAATGTTGCAATCCACATAACATAATCTGAGACATCAGAGGACAAACTGTTGGTGCGCGTCTCACTGGCTCTTCTGTGACCAGGACAGCAAGTCTTTTTGGTGTATCAAGAGCTATAGTATGCAGGCAGAATAATGCACACCACAACATGACCAACATCCAAATGGAGTAACTGTCGACGCAAGAAGCTTTCTGAAAAGGATGTCTAGGTATTAACCTGGAATGTATCCAAAATACATAAAACCACAGCTGCCCAACTCACTGCATATTAAATGTGCAGCTGGACTCTGTTTCCTATAGGAGATCCTATTGCTAAAGATAGCCAAATATTTGGTCACTCATACCAATGACAAATGTCGGTTTCATTGGTGCTAACAGTGCAAATGGGCCGTGGATAATTTTTAAGCCAAAATGGGGTATTTTGGAGGAGCAAGTTAAAAAAACTGTACACCTTCAGCATCACAGTGACCTGGCCACTGTTCTAGAAGAGGAATGCCTCAAAATCCCTCTGGCCATTGTGAAGGATTTGTATCTGTCATTCCCAAGACAAATTGATGGTGTATTGGTGCCATAAGGAGGCCCTATATCATACTAATAAATGATTGTGGTCTAAAACCAGGTGTTGCAATTTCATTGTCCAACCTCTGTAAATTCTATATCTAAATATGTCCTAAAATGAAGAGAACAGCAACCAATGCTTCTGACGTACACGGGTAAATGAACGTAGTTACGTCAGTGCGACGTCGAATTCTGGCTCTTAACCATTCTTTCTAGATTAGGGGGTTATAAGCTTTCCTAAGAACATTTAAACAAGAGACTAATATAAAAATTAAGAGGAAACATCCAATTGTTCTTTAATTTATCTTTGTACTGCTTGGTGAAATGTTTTACCCTATATCTTAAACTTAAATATTTAGACATTTGTAAATTTCGCCAGCAACCCCCCTACCCCTTTCGGATAATGGACTCTTCCAGTGATTCGAAGTGTTAGCGGGAGGAAGTTGCTGTTGTAGCATCGGACAGTTTTGTGGGGAACTCATTATAAACTTTAAAGTAAATACTACCTAAAATAAAATACTAGAAAATGTCATTTTAAAATATAAGAAACCTAAATGCTTGATGGAAACGTTGTATGGGAGAGATTAAAATATATCCGTTATTTAAGCTCAGTAACTTCGTCTATTATCAACTAGCATAGCTCACCGTATGTTTACAAAACCTACATACCGGTAGAAACAATTTAGATAGTTATTTGATGTTTTTTGTTCAAGGCCTCCATTGACCGTCCTTGTGGGTAAAGATGGATGTATCAACCTGTTTGAAGTCTCTTCTGTTGGCCATCCGTCAGTACAGGAATAACAAAAGCGCTTTAAATGCATCACAGCTGCAGAAACACATTGAAGTGAGTGAGAACGTTTTTCAATGCGGTAATTCAAACAATCAGTTTTATTTGTGTGATCCACCTAATTCTGTCATATTTTTGTCACCCACACGTTCTTCCAAAGTCGTATGACTTTTTAATACTGTGAAGTACAAAAGGAGATGTTAGGGAATTACAGTCTCAGTAAACATTCATTTTCATTCATCAAGCGAATGATGAATGAGGCTGTCATACTTTACCTTTAATGCTTTGGAAGGAAATAAACTGTTAAATAGTCAGTATATTTTCTTCTAGTTATGCTCTAAAAAGTGTTTTTAATCTTTTAGATGCCACAGGCTCAGAAATATTATCATGAGATCCTCATTATATGTTATTTTATAATGCTCATAATAATATTATCCCCATTCTTAAATTTAAAAAGCAATTATATTTTCATGTATAAAGACTTGTTATAATAATATAAATATGTGTGTAATATATATTAAACAATATTTCAGTGTCTATTGTTCTTATTTTGCATTTATCATATTTTCTAGTTGCTAAAGTACTGTACTCTTGGATGCATTATTAATGTATTTATTTACTTAAATCAATTTTGTATTTTGATCACTTTTTTATTATTTACAATATAAAATATCTAATACTTGAACTGCTATTTTTTTTTTTAATTCTACAGGATGTTTGTGGGCTGAAATGTGGTGTAGTGCTGTTCTCAGGTCAGCTGCTGCCCAGCGAGTGTCTGAGTGGACTCATGGAAGTAGCTGGAGACCCCAACACCAATCACACACTGACGGGGACCATTATATCCCTGCTGGCACAGTTTGGTACTAAACTCTTTAACATGGTTATACAGTCAGTACATAGTTTAGTCACAAACACATCCCCAACTGTTTACCCATGCATGTACTTTTCTTAACGGCCCAGCAGCTTCTGATGGTGAGGCCAAAGAGGCTCTTCACAGCAGCTACAACTTCACTGGCACTCTGGCAGCCATAATCCACTGCAACACAACCACACCAGAAGAGCCTCTTGTGCTGCAGGTGAGAGTCCTGCAGTTTTTTAAGATGAAGTCTGCAATTGAAATGCGTCAAAACACATACTGGTCTTGGCTTGTTGGTAACATGGACATGAGGTCTTAACTTAAGATGACCTAATTGTCCATGTTATCAACAAGCCAAGACCAGTATTGTGTTTTTGATTCATATTCAATATGACTTACACTACCATTTAAAAGTTTTGGGGCAGATTTTTAAAAATGTTTTTAAAATAAGTCTCTTATGCTCACCATGGCTACATTTATTTGATCAAAAATACAGTAAAAACAGTAATATGTTGTTATAAATGTTATTATAATTTAAAATAACTTTTTATTTATTCCTCTTATGGCAAAACTACATTTTTCAGTCTTCAGTGTCACATGTTCCTTCAGAAATCATTATAATATGCTGATTTGTGCTCAAGAAATATTTATTATCATTATTGAAAACATAAAACATAAGCTGCGTAATATTTTATCAAGATTATTGGATGAATAGAAAGTTCAAAAGAAATCTTTTGTAACCATGTAAATGTCATTACTGCCACTTTTTTTGTATCCTTACTGAATAAAAGTATTAATTTCTTTCAACAAAAACCCAAACTTTTGAACAGTGTATGAATTACTTTCTTAAATGCCATTTGATTGCACAGATTTTTTTCAAGTTGGGTTGAAGTTATCCAAACGGACTGGATTAAAAATACAAACAGATTACCCTGGGGATTATTTTATTTGGTCATGTGAATAATGTCCCTGATGGTCTCCACAGTGCCTTAATGTGCTGCAGCGACTGACCTACAACGTGAGGACTCTGCATTGTGTCTCTCACATCCACGAACTCATCAGCTTTCTAATGCAACACGTGTAAGTACTACAACATTCACTTTTCCGCTTTGTGTTTTGATGTTTGTGTGATGTAGATGGCTCAGCCACTTTTTAGCAGAGTATTCTTTGTTTATAAATGTACCGATGGTGTATATAACTACACTACTGTTCAAAAGTTTGGGGTTAATAAAACCAGTGGTGAAATAGACAATTCTAGACAAAAGCAGCAAATGCAGTTTTTAGCACAAGAGGCGTTTTAATCGTAATACACCAATACTTACAGAGTATTATGGTCAGAGCATTTTTCAGGTTATAAATTATAAAACTCAACCTAAAACCATTCATGTTTGTGGGATGTGCTGTCAATAAGGGCCACAAATAAAATCATGATATTGACAAGTGGTCTTGTATATGAAATGCTTTTTGGTTTCTCGTTCAGAGGAAACAGGCTTGTGTAGTGGAAAACCACATAACTGAACTGAAGCGTAGTTTTTGCTTTTAATCATGGGGGCCGGTCTGTCTTGCAACACTCTTTATAAGGTGCAAGATGCAATAAACTATTGTCACAGAAATGCTTACATGTGCCAAATTTCACAGAATTGTGTACACCCCAGATTAGTGCAAGTATACTAAGACGAACAGTAATTGTTTCTTTTTACTAGTTTTAAAGTATGCATTTATTAACAAAAAAAAATATACTGAAATGCTTCAGAACAATTCTATTGTATTCAAATAAATGCTTTTATGGTTGTCTTTAGCCAGTCAAGTAATGATGACACTGTAAAGGCATGCCTGGGCCTGATGGCCAACCTCTGTCGACATGACATCTCAGTGCAGTCACACATCAAATCTCAGGTGAGAATCGGCATTAGCTCTGCATATAAACTCTCAATTCGAACTTTTATCATTTTTGTTCGTGAACTAACCTGCTGATAAATATTATGCCTACTTTTCTTTTTTTTTTTTGCAGAGTAATGTCAAGGCTTTCTACAGAGCCTTGATTAATTTCCTGGGTCATAA